TTGACGGCTTTGTTTGGAGAAAGTGTGAAATTGAGCAGTCTCACTGACACACAATACAAGACAATAACTACACAACACACTAACTACAGCCTCCAAACACGCTGAACGTCACTAATGTCTCACATATGAAAACTCGCTCTCTCTCTTTCTTTTGCTCGCCTGCTTTCCATCGCGGGTGTCACTCCTAAAAACTTCCCCTTCTCCCCAAACAACCAAGTGTCACATGTTGCCTTATCAATTTGTTGATTGGCTGACATGGTAAACTCTAACACCAATAGGGAAGTGGTGCTTTTTCTTTTTTCGCTCGCAAGCGGAGAGTGTTTGCTAGCGCTGTCCGTAAATGACGTTTTTACCGTCCTTCCCGCTGTAAACGCCGCTGTTTTGTTCAGAATAAAAACATTGCGTGTATGTTTTATCACAATTCTGGTTTTACGTGGCCCATCGACACAATTGAAAAACTGGTATGTAGTTTGAAGTCCGCACTTTTGACCCAAGTTGAAATGGAGACTTTGACTCGCTGCAGCTGTGTCATCTTAAATTGGTCATGTGATTTTGACGCGCCAGCGCGTCCGGAGACCCCAGAGGGTTAACAGTAACAGTATTTTGTGTAAGTCCGCCATCGTAGAAATTAATTTCACCAAAACAATAACGTGACGCACAGTGTGACGTCAAAATAAGCACACACCTTTGACGCTGCGTTTTCTCCGTTTTTTGAAAATCTCCACCTTTGTAAGCGTTTTTGAAAATCTCTGTTTTCAGTGACTGAAAACGGCGTTTACGTGTGGACGAAAGGTGCAAACACATAGAAAAATCTGCGTTTTCAAAAATACCCGTGTACGTGTGGACGTAGCCAAAGGCTGGATATCGTCTAGAATCAATTCGATTCCATTTGAATCGAGGAAATTCTGCCTCAGACAGTCAGAAATATTATAATTCTGATCATTTATGAGTACATGTCCATATTTTTATGTTTAATATACAGTGGTCCCTCGTTTATCGAGGGAGTTGCGTTCTAAAAATAACCCACAATGGGTGAAATCCGCAAAGTAGCAAACTTTATTTTTTATTTTTAAATTATTATAGATGGTTTAAGGCTCTAAAACCACTCACTACACACTTTGTGCACTTTTCTCAGACAGACATGAACATTTTCACTTTCCTTCTCTTGTTTAAACACTCAAAGTTCAAACCTTTGTAGGAAAATCCCCCGGAGATCGTTAAGCAACCCCCGGGGCTACCCGCAACAGCAAGCCGCAGGAGGAGACGTTGCGAGCGGAGGCAGAAGAGAGGCAAGCGGGGAGGCCTGTGGGCACGGCTAAAGACTAGTCCGTTTAAACCACCACTCCCGATCATATTCCTCTCCAACGCCCGTTCAATCCGTTACAAACTGGATGAAATACGACTGCAGATCGCCACTCGACGGACTTTTAATAACTGTTCGTGCATGATTTTCACTGAAACCTGGCTGGACAGCGCCATTCCCGATGCGGCTATCGATCTAGCAGGCCGCACCGCCTATCGAGCCGACAGGTCTGCGGACTCGGGTAAGAAGACTGGCGGGGGGCTGTGCATCTATATTAACAACCTTTGGTGCACGAACGTCACGGTAACGGAAAAACTGTGCAGTACGGAGGTAGAACTGTTGGTGTTAAAGTGCCGTCCATTCTATCTCCCTCGGGAATTTTCTGCCGTTTACATCTGCGCTGTTTACATTCCACCAGATGCTAATGCTAAGCTAGCGTTAGCACAATTGAGCAGCAGCATCAATAACAGCCTGGTAGCACACCCGGACAGTGTCTTTATTGCGGCTGGGGATTTTAACCACGCGGACCTGAAATCTGTACTTCACAATTTCCACCGTAATGTGAAGTGTGCTACCAGAGGAGATAGAACGTTGGACCAGGTGTACACCAACATGGCGAATGCGTACAGAGCCCAGGCTTATCCCCACCTGGGTCTGTCAGACCATCTCTCCCTTCTGCTACACCCAATATACACACAAAAGATCAAGAGCACTGGGATTACAACCAAAACCGTGAGAACATGGCCGCAGGACGCTATTCCGATGCTTCAGGACTGTTTCCACTGCACAGACTGGGATGTATTCAAGGTGCAGGACACTGACAATCGTGTCGCATTGGACAGTTACACCTCCACTGTCTTGGACTACATCTGTTTCTGTGTGGACAATGTAACAACTTGGAAACGATTCCGTGTGTTCCCTAATAATCCACCCTGGATGACACACGGAGTTCAACAACTTATTCGAACAAGGAACAACGCTTTCAAATCCGGGGACCAGGAGGCATACAGTGCTGCCAGGGCCAACCTGAGAAGAGGCATCAAGACTGCCAAGCAGCAGCACAGGAGGCGTATCGAGGCCAGGTTTGAGAACAACACAAACCCAAGGCAGGTCTGGGAGGGCATCAGGGCTATCACGGACTACAAAAGAAGAACACCATCACCCTCAGCCGACAGTTCTACTCTGGCTGAGGATCTAAATCTCTTTTATGCCCGTTTTGACAGGGAGAACACCGACCCTGTCCTGTCCCCTCTCCCCTCAACCGACCCTGCTCCGGTCCTGAGCACTCATGAGCTGAGGCGTGTGTTCCGGAGCATTAACACCAGGAAGGCGGCCGGGCCGGATGGAGTGCTGGGCCGGGTGCTAAAAGACTGCGCTGCGGACCTGGCGGACGTCTTCACCTCTATATATAACACCTCGTTGTCCTGTTCACTGGTACCATCCTGTTTCAAAGCAGCAACCATCGTTCCCATCCCAAAACAGTCAAATGTCACATGTCTGAACGATTTCAGACCTGTGGCACTCACCCCCATTCCCGCCAAATGCCTGGAGAGACTGGTCATTAAACACATCAGAGCTGCTTTTCCACCATCCCTGGACTCGCACCAGTTTGCATACAGGGAGAACCGGTCAACCGAGGATGCGATCGCCACAGTGCTGCACACATTACTGAAGCACTTGGAACACAGGAACACCTATGCACGGCTCCTCTTTGTAGACTACAGCTCGGCTTTTAATACCATCCGGCCATACAAACTCCGTCCCAAACTCCACCAACTGGGACTTAACTCCTCTCTGTGCAACTGGATTGTGGACTTCCTCACTAACCGTAGACAGAGTGTCAGAGTGGGTAAGAACACCTCTTCCACCCTTGTGGTCAACACCGGTGCCCCTCAGGGGTGTGTTCTGAGCCCTCTGCTATACACTCTCTTCACCCATGACTGTATTTCCTCCTGCGCGTCCAATCTCATTGTTAAGTTTGCAGATGACACTACAGTGCTCGGACTTATATCCAACAATGATGAGACAAACTATAGGACAGAGGTGCAACAACTAGAGTCATGGTGCCACGACAATAACTTGGTCTTAAACACCAAAAAGACCAAGGAGATCATTGTAGATTTCCGGAAGAGGGGTCATAACAACCATCTGCCTCTCTTCATTGGCAGTGAGGCGGTGGAGAGGGTGAGCAGTTTTAAATTCTTGGGGGTAACTGTGACCGAGGACCTATAATAATTCTGCATCATTGAGTGACAAGAACAAATAACCTGACGTCCTGTAATCATTATGAAGCTATAATTTGAGATACAATAAAAGATACAGTAAAAAAATGTTTTTGTACAAAGTATCGGATCGTTGATATCACCCCGAATTTTACTTGGTATCAGATCGGAAAGGAAATCAGTGATATTGCACGTCACTAGCAAATATGCAACATCTTTATAAACCGAGCAGATATTTGAAGTTTACACAGCTACAGAAGAGTTTATTTTGTCACCCAGAAAGATTAATAAGAGTAATTTTAAAACTTAGTAGCGGCCGCCATTTTTAAAAACTGGAATTGGCTGAGGCACGCTGTGAATTCTGGGATATGGTGGGTCACGAAGGACACACCTGACCCATCCTTCAAATTCAGAGAAAAGGAGGACGCATTTGTCGGCTGCATTCGGAGGAGTCTACAAATTTGGACAGCCTTTGTCGCGTTGCTGTGACGTAATCGGTCCCACAAATGCGTCCTCAGGAGGATGCAGCCCATGAATTTGGACACGCCCTCAGGCTACGTCCACACGTACACGGGTGTTTTTGCGTTTCCACTTTTCGTCCACATGTAAACGGCGTTTTCGGTCACAGGAAACTGAGACTTTAAAAACCTGCCAGGGTGGAGATTTTTGAAAACTCAGTTTTTGCGTTTACGTGTGGACGAGGAAACACGGCGTCGAAGGTGTGCGCCTATTTTGACGTCACACTGTGAGCCACGTTATTGTTTCGGTGAAATAAATTTCTACAATAGCGGCCTTACACAAAATACTGTTACTGTTAATTTTACTCTCTGCAGTGTTTAAATGCTCACATATACACACAGTTACTGTCCCTCCACACATACGACTCAGTTCTGCTTCTCTGCGCCATCTTTGTTTACTATTTCCCACCCAGGCTTCTAGACTTCTGATTGGCCAACATTTCTACACGGTTAGGAATATATCACCACCTGTTGCTTTGGTATGTTCCTAGCAGCGTTTTCCTTCATTTCTGTGTTTACGTGTGGACAGGATTTATTTATTTATTTTTTAATCGGAAACAGAAAATCTCCGTTTTCAAAAATACCCGTGTACGTCTGGACGTAGCCTTCGAGAGGCCGAGTTTCTCAGAAACAAACAAGTTGATCAGTCTGCACGTCTGCAGAGGAAGCATGACCCCGTCCAGCGTTTACAGACGTGTTGCTGCCATCAGATTAAAAATGAGCTCTCTCAGTTTAAACATGTGAAATGTTTTCTATCTTCTATTGTGAATAAAATGTGGCTTCATGACATTTGAACATTATTCGACACCAACGACCTTTTTGCAGCTGTAAATGTTTAGTTTGTCACAACCAGATCAAAAAGTAAGAAGTTGTTGTGATTGGTGTAAAATGTGTGAGGCTGAGTTCCTCCTGTCACTGATGCAGCTCACATGTATCAGCTTCACCCTCCTCGTGCTTCATGTTGCCTGGATTTAATCCTCACTTACTTTCTGTGGCTCTTTGTAAGATCTCTGATCACTTTCATTAAAGTTCTCACTGACTGTTGGATCTCTTCATATTTTACAGTGATGATATTTTCTGCTTCTGAGGAAGTGAAAAAGAACCTGACGGGCACTGTGGGAGGAAATATCACTCTACCTGACTCTGTGCAGGAGAAAGGATATCTGTCATATGGAAGAATGACTATTGCTGATGTGAAAAGCGGGATATTTGACATATCAGAGGACATTTACAAGAACAGACTTCAGTGGGACAGAAACTCTGGACTCTTTACACTCACAGAGCTGCAGAGGGACGACTCAGGGATTTATACTGTCGACTCTAAAACAGGAAAAGGTTTCACATCATCATATAAGCTCACAGTGTACGGTAAGTCTCACATTTACTCTGGTATATTTTTGCGCAACATCCCAGCTCCATATGTGACCTCAGTCTGTATGTTCCTCATTAGTTTGGTCATATCATCACTTCAGAATAAAAACAGCTTTTTGTTCTTATAATCCCACAAATGTCTGGTGTGAAAGGAATAATCAGCTTTGACTTCAGTGTTTTCACCAACATTACTGATCTGTACAAAGTGAATGAAAGAACAGGACAAAGCAGAAACTTTAAACACTGTTCTTAGAAAATCCTGCAGAACAACTGAAATTAACACGTTTTTATTTAACAGCTTTTTTAAACCAAAACACAAAACTTCCTGTTTACTTGAACATGTTTCCCATTTCATGGTCACGTGAATCCACAGAGAAGTAACACAAAGCCTCATTGGCCATGTTCCCACTAGTGCCTAACTATCGCCCAATCACAGCTCAGCACAGCACCCTGTGAGTTTCTAAGGTATTGAACTTCTTTATGAAGCATTAACAGTTACTTCTTACAGTGAAACATGTATATTTGAACAGCCCAGCTGCCACCTGTCAGTCTTGTGTGGCCTACAGTGTTACACTGCGTAACAAGCAGAACAGACACTTTTATTTTGACAGGTTTGTTATTGATGGCGACTTCCTGTGGCTGCTGCTGTGAGAGGAACACATTACAAAACACAAGCTGTGGTTTCCATCATGAAGCAACACATTGTGCTGTAATGTTTGTGTCTGACTACAAAGCTGCTGTCTGTGTCGTAGGAAACCAACGACAGTCATGTAGTTACAGGAACCCACACACAGAATCATGTCTTTGTGTTGTTTTCTTCCTTTCATGAGGATTTGAATCAGAGCGTTTGTTTCTTCTGTGTCCTCTTCAGCACCTTCTGCTGATAGTGATGCTAGTTTGACAGGAAACCTGAGAAATCCCTCATAAACCTTTATAATGAGATTCAAATGGATATAATGGAGGTTTGGCAGTCTGCTGTCTCTGGTGTGTAGGGATGGGTATCGTTTAGGTTTTATCCGATACCGGTGCTAAACTGGTACTTTTGAAACGATGCTGGTGCTTAAACAATGGAAAAAACAAACTTTGTCCAAAAACCTCTCATGTTCAGCTGTTTTCCACTTTTTCTTTGGTCATTTTACCCTTTTTGGCCAGGGTGAAGGGAGTATCTGCCATCAAACAAGAAGACAGCAGCATGTAGCTATGATGATGTTTGCTAGTTCACCTTACCTGCATTAATGTAATGACGTGGTTAGCCTACTCAACGTAAATTACACACGAACAACATTAAGCTACTCACGCAGAGAAGAACGGCTGCTGCTGCATCATCATCCTCATCATTTCTGCTACACTGGCAGGGCTAGGGGCCAGGACTCTCCTCTTCGGGTTCCTGGGGGATGTTGCTAACTCCGGGCCCGCAGTAGATGCGCTCGGTGTGAGGTCTCGCAGCAAGCTATCAAATACGGTGCATTTCTCGGCTTTTAAAAAAACGCTATGCATCACCAGGTGTTTCATCTGATTTGAGGTGTTACCTCCTTTGACAGTATCACAGTATCAGCTTAAAGCACTTGTTGCAGGCTGCTGAGTTTGCATATTTTTCTGTGAAGTACAGCCAGACTTTTGACCGCTTCGCCTTGGGCATTTTTAATCTGTAGCTCTGCTCTAACAGAACTTACGTACCTGGCCCCGCCTACTATCCTTGTAAAGGTAAAATGGTTGGGTAGAATCCAAAGTGTGTGACATCTCAGGAAAATAAAGCACCGAAATGTGCGCTGGTTTTCGGTCTGGTTACTACTGTTTATGTCAGAACCAGTGCAATAATGGCACCAGATACTGGTACCCATCCCTACTCGTGTGGTTTGTTTTCAGACAGTTCTGCAGTAAATCTCCTCTCATCATCATCACGCTACCTGTGGTTGATTTAACCAGTAACACCAAGAAGAAAGGCTTCCACAGAAGTTGAGGTTTTGAGTCCACAGAGCTTCACAGCAAAGATGTGACCGAGACGTTTAGACAAAAGATTGAACAGAACAGTCAGAAGCTGCTGGTTGAAGGGAAACGAGCACAAAAAGAGTTTGTGTTGTTTGTGACATCAGAGCAGCTCACCTGAAATTCAAAGCCCTGCTCCAGGATCGCTGCTTACCCAACAAACAGACCCTTAGAGTTCATATGGGGAGGTGTGGGCAGACCCACATGGTCTACAACAGACAGTGTTGGACTTTACTGCCAACAGCTGGTATGTAGCACACACCAGAATAATCCTCAAGAGAGGCCGTTTTAGCTCCTCCCTTTTTTGCAGGAGGTCATCACAGAGCTGATTTTGGCAGATTTTTACTCCAAACACCAAAGCGTCTGAGTTTTTATCACGTCTCCCACTGCAGGAACCCTCAAACATGCACACACTGTTGCTTTGTTCACTGTTTGTGCTGTTTGCTGCACAGCTCTCACCGCTGTCTCCTCCCACACTCTTGTGGTTGTTACACAAACACGTTATCGCACTATGCCCCTGCCCTCAAAGACATCACATAAAATGCTATAGAACAAGCAGTATGTGTTAGATGTCCTGACATCTTTCACTGTTCAGTATATCAGTCATATACAGTTTAAGATTGGAATAAGTTGCTGTCTCTAATCTGCATTTTTATGACAGTGACATTAAAAAATGTTCTCTTATTTCATCTTCCCCACAATATTCACATTTCTCTTTATCGGGTTCCCTTTATTATAAAGAGTTTGCCAGCAAACATCCCTGTGAACGCCCACAGTGGGCAGGTGTGTGAACAGGACAAACCACATGTGTTTTCTAAGGCTTTACTATTTCTTGGGTGGTGTTGAGACTGTGACGTCTTCTTGCCGAACCTCCAAACTTTGTTAGTCTGTTACCAGGGCTTTGTTAGCTAGCCTTGTTTTTAGCCTGTCTGCTAGCTGTCTGCTGCCCTGAAGCTACAGCTGTCTGTGGGCTTTACCTACTGACGTACTTTTACAAGATGATACCCGACAACTGAAGCAGGACCTTAGGATGAAGGACGAGCTTATCCTGGAGTTTTCATCTATGGCCACCACACAAGCTAACCACCTGGCTTCTCTACGCGTCTCAGTAGAGAAACCTGCTCCCCGTTCACTCTGTGGTCAGCCCCAGCTGCTCACAAACCACTTTCCACTGGAACCAGTTCAGCCACATCTACAGGAGGGCCTGTCATCTCAGTCAATCTATCTATGTCTGATGAGATGTGACCGCTCCTCATGGGCGAGGTCAAAGTCCAGAGTCTGCAACCTGCAACCCAGATGTGTGGGTGGTGGTAAAGGACAATAAGGGTGGTGCTCCATCTACATCCTCACTAAACCAGGCGCCACTCAGCACTGAGGAGGGGAATGGCTGACAGGGATGCCTCACTAACCTCACTCGTCAGCTGTGTCCTCTCCTGGGCTCCCTTGCCATTTCTCTTCCCAGTTACCTGGCTATAGTGCAAACACCTGCATGACACCAAGCTGAGCATCCAGGCTTTTCTGTCTCGAGCACTGCTGCAGCTCCTCCTGTTTCCTCGACGGCTGCATCTCCAACCTCAAATGCTGTACTGCCCCTGAGGTCCACATCATCTGCCATCTCCTCAAAGCCATGCCTGTCCACAGTGTGGTTGTGGGCACCTCTACGGTCCAACATGGTGGCCGTGCCTTTTGCTATTATGGCGCCTGTGTGGAGGATATTACTCCGACCGATCTGCAGCTGTTGAAAATTCACCACAAAGCCTCAGCACTAGTTGGCTCTAATGACTTAAAAACAGTCATTTGGAGACCCTCGAACAAGGTTTTGTGCACCTTGTGAGGAGTCTGCTGGTCCTCTGCCTGTTTGGTTTTGTTCAGCCAGCTGCATCAGCTGCACATTTGGCTGAAGGGCTGCTGCAAGAATAAAGACTGTCCTCCAGCGCCCTGAACTTTGAAACAACCCCTTCACCCAAACCTCTGGGGTTCAATCTGCCCACAATCATTGAACTAACCTTTCACTCGTGTAGGACTCAGCCCAGACCAGCGTGTCGCCTAAAATCATGTTATTACTGATATTTTGTCACCATCACTACTAAACCGTGTCACGCCTGCTAACCTGCATAACCACTGATACCAAGACTTCACCTGTTTTCTCAGTCGGCCACCTCTTTATCAGTTCCTGCGATTATAAGGAGCAGAGAGAAAAACTCCAGTGTTTTCCATAGTTGTGCACCCAGACTCAGTACTAACCTGCACTGTGATGGAGTCTTTATGGTGGAGGAGCACCAGTGGTCTAAACCAGCGGTCCCCAACCTTTTTTGCACCACGGACCGGTTTATACCCGACAATATTTTCACGGACCGGCCTTTTGAGCTGTCGCAGATAAATACAACAAATAAAACCAGTACCGGTACCGAAAAAAAGAAGATTTATTCATAACACACGTGAAAAGACCCAGGAAAACCGAGTAAACGATCAAAACGATAACAAAATAACGCTGAAAACCGATAAAAACCCTGAAAACCATACATTTCACATCTGAGCCTCAACTCTCACGACCCGGTACCAAACGACTCACGGACCGGTACGAGGCCCGGGGGTTGGGGACCGCTGAACTAAACTGTGTCCCATTTAATCCTGGTTCTTTTAACTCCTTCTATCTCCTTTTATCTCCTCTGACCTGTAAATATTTATTTGATCAAATCATTTAATCTACATATGGATGATTTCTCTAACTGCCCTGATACAGAATTTATTAACATTAGAGAAATCATTTTATTTTATGCAACATGTTACCGGCCCCAAACCTCAGATCTGGATTTTACTCTCGGTTTATCTCTAAATTCCCTCCACACGTCTGACCTGCGATCACACATTCATGCTCTTTGACACAGTTCTGTATCCACTGTTGTCTAAATCTCACATCTTTGATGAGCACTCGGGTTTTCTGCTCTTTTCTTTCCTGACTGCAAAGTCAGATTAGTCCCAATCATCAATCCTTCCCCCTGGATCAGTGATCACATCAAAGTGCAGAAAAGCTGAATGTAGATGGAAGAAGCCTGATCTCCGTGTTCATTCTCCATATAAAGGAGTTATTGATCACATCTAACCAGCTCATCAAAGATGTGAAAACCTCTCATGTTTGATTAAAGAAAACAAGCTCGGGGTTCGTGTTTGACGCCATCAGCAGATTCCTTCATCCTCCTCATTCTGCTTTCACTCCCACGTCTTCAGATACTGTGAAACGTTGCAGAGCTCGTCATGCTCACCTCATCCTGTCATGACATCATCTGGCTGATAAATCATCATCTGACTGCATTCCAGATCATTTTAAAGCAGCCGGTGTCTTTGCTGGAAAAAACAATCTCACTGTTTCAGATGTTTGATGGCTGATTTCCAAACTTGTTTATTTCCAAAATCCTTTAAAAGCTGTTATTCATCAGCTTCTTCAGATTGTTGGAGGAAACATCTTCAGTAAATTCCAGTTACACGGCGTTATTAAAGTTACTAATGATACTTCTGCACTCAGAGGTGAAGACATTTGTTTCCTGCTCGACGTGTCTGCAGCCTTGTTGATCAGGCTGCTCGTCGCTGCTGCTCTCAAATGCTTTTCTTCACTTTATCAAAGCGATACTTCAGAATTCATATTAATCAGTGTGAGTCTTCGTCTGCACCGCTGCTGTGTGGAGTCCCGCAGGGATCAATCCTTGGACCAGTTAATGGTATCAGTGAATTCTCTGTTGCTATGCAGATGACACCCAGTTATACTTTTCTGTCAGCCTCAACACCCACAGCCTCTCCTGCCTCAGTGAATCCTTATCTGGCATTGCCACAAATGTCAAAGCTCCTCCAGTCTTATTTCCTTCATCTCAGAAATGTTGACCAAAGTGCTGCTTTTATAAAGTTTGAATGCAAAGAACCCAGCAGTCTGTCAGTGATGTGAACATATGCAGCTCTGTGAGGCTTTCCAGGACTGACTGTCTGGAAACGTGTTGACTTCCTTTGTAGATGATCACGTCTTCACTCTGTGACAGCGTCTCTTTACTGCGTGTTTCTATTCTGTGTTATGTTCTAGCTTAAACTGCCATCACAAAGAGCTTAAAAAAGAACTAAAGGCAAGTTTAAAAAGATGAGTTTTTATTTGTTTCTTAGACCACTGAGTCCACGGAGCTCAAACTCAGAGGGAGAGAGCTGTAGATGTTCCAGCGAGTTTCTGCTTACAAATGTGAACAAGGAACTACTGTAATCCAAACATGATGAAAGCAGTACCTCACTTGGCAATATTTCTCTTGTGATAAAAACACGATCGAATCAGAGAAGCCAACGTCATTCAAAACAGGTTTTTGTGAGAGACGGCCAATCAGGAGGCTGGTATGGGGCGGGGCTAAAAATCAGGCAAAGCTGCTTCAGTAAAAAAGTAAAATTTGAGATGAGCAGTTTCAAATTAATGTTCACTGACTGCATTAAAGCAGCAATAACCAGAGCTCTGCTGTCCTGATGATGTTCACTAACAAAAAGCAGAAAGTTAAAAACATTTTTCTGATGTTAATTTTTGTTCTCCATCACTTTTCTCCTCCAGACTCTGTACCAACACCTAACGTGACAAAGCTGAACTCCAGCTCTGAGAGCTGCTCCTTACTGTGTTGGGTGGACAGAGAGACCACACTGCTGTGGTTTAAAGACGAGCAGATGCTGAACCAGAGCAGCTCTGCGCTCTCTCTGCCTCTCACTGTGCACAAACAGGACTTCAACTCCTCTTACAGATGTGTGGCTGCAAACCCTGCAGAGGAGAAAACTCTTCCTGTCCGTGTGAGAACCACCTGTGGAGACACAGACGACAACGACACCAACAGCTCGACTGAACCAAGAAACTGTGAGATTATTTCTAACTGTGATTTTAAACATGTTGTTCACTGTGTTTGCTGACATCTGATTTCCTGTTTGACAGATAACATCCTCATTATAATCTTCTGTGTCCTGTCTGTTGTGATGATCATACTTGCTGCTTTTATCATCAAGTCAAAGTATCTTTCCCGAAACAAAACGAAGACAAACGGACAGGCACAAGGCAGGTATTTATTTTCTCTTTTTATTTTATTTATTGTATTTACTTCTAACCTCTTTGGAGCTTGTAGGTCTAAACCTTCAGATCCAGATGATATTAGACAAAAACACATTTGAGTCCACTCAGCTGTAACACGTCTGTGTTTAACTGTGGTGTGACTGACTTCAGTAGAGTCTTTGTCCTGTTAGTGGAACTATGAGCTGCTTCCAGCGCATCACTATCAGCACTAAGATGCCGCCGAGGCTGCCGGCTCGATGCTGCCGGCTCGATGCTGCCGGCTCGAGGCTGCCGGCTCGATGCTGCCGGCTCGATGCTGCCGTGTTGTGTCACAGAGGATGTTCTGGTTCATATGAGCTGCTTCAGTAGAAACATGCAGCCGTCACTGTGAGCTCTGTGTTTGATCACATCTGACTAAACCTGACGAGCCAAGCTTGGAGCAAAAGTTAAAGTGCATTTACTCTGTGGGAGGTTTTTATGCAAAATAATGAAGTCATTTAAATCTCCATTCCCATGTAAACTGTGCGTGTTATATATGACAACAGGAACTGACTGAAAAGAAAGCAAACACGTACTGAAGGTAGACCTCTGTTCACTTCATAACTGCAAATGTCTCTGCTCATTAACTCCTTTGGGTCTGTCGTCGTTTGTCCTCCTGAGAACAAAAGTATTGAATCCACTACAGAGGACGTAATGAGCAGGCTGGTCTCAGGAGGACACGGCCCGCTCTGGACTCAAGTACTAAAAGCAGGATGTGGGACTCTGTGTGGTTGTGTGTCGTGGTCGTGTGGTTTTGTTCCAGAAGCTCCGGGAGTTTCATTGTTAAGCTAACGTTTGGTTTCCTGTATCTATTAATACTGAGAACTAATCCTCTTCCTGTCTGCGTGACTTGTTCTAACTGTGACTTTCATGTCTTGTGAGATTATTGGGTCACTTTCAGTGTCAGAGTTAAGTGTGATGATATTCTGGTTTCCTTCTTTGTTTCTTTCCCGTTTCCTTCCCTGCAGAGTTTTCAAACATTATTCCTGTTTTCCTTTTTGACACAGTCTTCTCATGTTTAGTGTTTTTATGTTCATGTCTTCCTGCTTCAGTGGTTTTTGTCCATGTTTTACTTTGTAGTTCTTTCTTTCTACAGTCTCATTGTGTCACGGGCTGCGACGGCAGACCGTGGAGTTGTAGAGAAAGTAGGGCCCAAACGCGAGACTCTAGTGAAGGACGGTGGATTTATTTATGGTGAGTGGACAGAAACGACAACTATATACAATTCAAGCACTGTGACTCCTGTGGCGATTCCTCTAAGAATCCCACACAGTGCACGTGTCCATAGCAGTGAAAAGGTGACAACTCCAAAAACCCGATTCCACTCCGTGATTTCCCCTCGTGACGACGTTCCTGACTCCCGACTCCTGGTGCCACAAAAACACACACACAGCTCAGCAGGCAGCCTTTAGTAGCGAAGCCGATCTCAACACACTAATCTACGGTACTTAACAGGTTCGACTTAGTATAATCCCGCGCCGACTGGGGCTCCGCCACCTTCTTAAATAAGACGCCCCTCATGAAGCTATCAGCTGCAGCTGGTGAGGGCTAATGGGCGGCAGGTGCGGCAGTCCCCAGTGCGGGAACACTTCCGGGTCGCAGTCTCCTCAGCGACCCCAAAACATCCGGGAGCACCCAGGGAGAAAGGACAAAAAAGGGAGAGAAAACCACCAAAACATAACATACGGAAAAACATATACAAGAAATACATGATCTCTGGGTCATCAAACCCAGACCATGACACATTGTCTTGATTACCTGGACCTGTGTCTCGTTCCCCAGCTGTGTCCACTTCCTGTTTGATCCTGTGTCCATGAACAGTCCTTCTGTTTCTTCATAGTTTTGATGATAACATCAGTGAATCTGTCTTTGTGCTTCTGGTTCTGATACTTGTGACTCTTCTTCCTCTCAGTGCTGCCTGCTCACATCAGCAATGATTAAAAATCAATAACCTTGATTGATACTCGCCGTCTGTGGGAGACGTGGGTCTGAGAGATCTACATCAGGCAAACTTTAGTGATTAATTTGATCCTACTGTACTGTTAAGAGGTCATTCCTGGACCTCCCAGTGATGCTACATTTGTGGGGGTTGATTCAAATACAAGGACGTCTGTTTTCAGCAATAAGTGATCGTTTTATGTAGCGATTATGTTTCTATTGTTATTGTTGTTTCTTACCTGAAAACTTCAAAGGTTTTCAGAAATCTGCAGCAGTTTGAACATTTTCCAAACAGAACATTCAGTCAGTCGTCTGTGTGTGGACAGCAGGACTTTCATACTCCAGGAAGCAGAGGAAGGGCGAGGCAGGATGTAATGTGGAGGAGGGTCAGGCGTTAATGCAGGAAAGTGAAAGAGGACACGAGCATTCAAGGAGCCAGAGCAGCGGCAAACTAACCGCACCCACCAACTGTTTTCAATGAGAAGCAGTGTGTGAGCTCTGAAGGCTTCTGGATGTTATCATGTGATGAAGGGGAACAAAGAACACACACATGTAAAGGAAGCACTCAAAACGTGCAGCTATCCTAAATGGGCGTTCTTAAAGTCAGCAAAGAGGCACAGAAAAGAAGACCAGACACCGGCGAGGGAGGATAAGAAGGACAGACGCAACAATGTTGTCATCCCCTATGTAGCCGGTGTATCAGAGAAACTCAGGAGAGTTTTCTCCAAGCATGACATCCCGGTGTATTTCAGACCCAGCAACACACTCAGACACAAACTTGTTCATCACAAAGACAAAACGCCAAAACACAAACTTAACAATGTGGTGTTTGCTGTACAGTGCAGCGAGGAATGTCCAGACCTCTACATCGGAGAGACCAAACAACCACTTCACAAGCGCATGGCACAACACAGAAGAGCCACCTCCACAGGACAAGACTCAGCAGTCCATCTGCATCTAAAGGTCAAACGTCACTCTTTGAGGATGCCAATGTTCACATTTTGGACAGAGAGGACAGATGGTTTGAAAGAGGAGTTGTTAATTTGGGTTGAACCCAGGACTCGCTTGGGTCCTTCTTAATGAGATCAGGAATACTTGGAGTTGGACCCCTCTATGTTTTCTCTTGTGCCATTACACGTGGTGGCTGGTAGGCTGGGGATGGATGAGGTTTATATTGCAATGATGTTGTGATAGGTCTTGGTACCTCGGCGACGGGCTGCTGGCTCCAGATGTTGGTGGGGGTTTGACTCTGGAAACTGGGATAAGCCCTAGCAGAAAACTGCTCCTGCCAAGGAGGCTTCAAATGTTGCTGAGTGATAGGTGGATGTTCAAACTGAAAGGAAGGTGCACTGTTGGGGAATGGCGGGGTTGGCCGACTAGCTGTCAGTGTCTGCTCCTTTAACAGCTGTAGTTCACCCATCATCCTATCCAATGTATCAATCATTGTAGTATCCTTGGGTGGAATACTCTGAGCTGATGGTGGGAAAAAGTATGGCCTTTGGTATTCTTGTTGAGCATGGATGTCCTGCCTATTGTCATGCTGCAGCCATGGACTCGTTCATGCATCTATTCTGTGTGTATGGGAACTAATCGTGGGGACACTGATGGGCTGCATACGTTGGGAGGAAGACAGAGGGGGTACATGTGTTGGGGGTGGTCTCTGGTCCCGTTGCTCTGACAGGTAACCACCTCTGTCTGGTTCACGTGTTTGGGCGTAAGGCTGAGGTCTGCCATTCATACCATACTGCGAACCCGAAACCGCAGACATTTCCCATGGTCGATGGAAAGGAGAAGGAGGCTGATGGTTCAGGCCATCCCTACTGGACACATGCTGCCGCATATCCTGCAGATCATTCGGAGAAGCGGTCCATTCATCCACGGTGTGTTCCCATCCAGGCTGACTTATTGGGCAGTCTCCCACTGAAGGAGCTGCTCAGTGCTGTCACAGTCTGCTGCATGGGGTGGGAGACGTTGTCCAACAGGGATGACAGCTTAGCCGCCGTTCTCCTGTCACTCACCACCTCCACTGGGTCCAGAAGGCATCCTAGAACAGAGCTGGCCCTTCGGATCACCCTGTTCAGTCTCTTCCTGTCCCCAGCAGAGATGCTGCCGCCCCAGCAGACCACACCATAAAAGATAGCAGAAGCCACCACAGAGTCATAGAAGGTCTTCAGGAGTGGGCCCTCCACCCCAAACGACCTGAGTCTCCCCAGCAGGTACAGCCTGCTCTGCCCTTTCCTGTAGAGGGCGTCTGAGTTATGAGTCCAGTCCAGTCTGTTGTTCAGATGAACACCAAGGTACCTGTAGCTGTCCACAGCCTCAATGTCCATACCCTGGATGTTCAGTGGTTGCAGTGGAGAATGCTCGTGCCTGCGGAAGTCTACCACCAGCTCCTTGGTTTTACTGGCGTTGATCTGGAGGTAGTTCAGCTGGCACCAGTCCACAAAGTCTTGAGTCAGTCCTCTGTACTCCTTGTCGTCCCCATCAGTGATGAGGCCGACTATTGCAGAGTCATCAGAGAACTTCTGCAGGAAGCACTGGGTGGAATTGTGGGAGAAGTCTGCAGTGTAGATGGTGAAGAGGAACGGAGCCAGAACCGTTCCCTGTGGGGCCCCCGTACTGAAGACGACCCTGTCCGACACACAGCCCTGAGTCCTCACATACTGTGGTCGGTCGGTGAGGTAGTCCAGGATCCAGGTAGTGAGGTGATGGTCCACTCCAGAGTTCACCAGCTTGTTCTTTAGAACCGAGGGAAGAATAGTGTTGAAGGCACTGGAGAAATCAAAGAACATGATTCTCACAGTGCTTCCAGCGGTCTCCAGGTGAGCGAGGGAACGATGTAGGAGGTGAATGACGGCATCATCCGCGCCAATGCCAGGCTGGTAGGCAAACTGAAGTGGGTCCAGTGATGAGCTTGTTAGGCGCCAAAGCTGAGCCAGGACCAACCACTCCAGGGTCTTCATCAGGTGGGATGTCAGAGCCACCGGCCTGTAGCTGTTGAGGTCCTTGGGGCGTGAAGTCTTTGGCACTGGT